GAACTATCTAGATGGCATTTTTTTTTAACTTGGGATAGGAAATATTTATGAACGACTCCTTTTTTCCCCAAAAAAGACAACTTAAATAGAAGGAATAATCTGGAAAAGCATATAAGCAGGAGAATCTGAGTTCAACAAATAAGAATGCATTAATTCTTGAAAAGTAAATGTTATAATAAATAGTTACAAAGTCCTAATGATGATTGCAGAAAACCAGTTCTCATGGATTCACTATGGGAAGGACAGATGGCATAACATGTAAGAATCAATTGTATAGTGCTGAAGTATAGTTAAAACATCAAGAGGGGACAGAAAGAAAGGTTTATTAAGAATTCTGCAGAACAACTTTAAACCACACCATCTAATGTATTCACATCTCTGTCATGCAATAAATACTAAGACACACTCATAGTAGAAATTCAAGAAATGTTAGCTGGATGAATGAATAAATGAATGAGTTTAATCCTTGTNGACTATGTAATAAAATTTTGACCAGTGAGATATATGAGATGCTTGCCAGGGCTCTGAGAGAGCTTTTGCTTTTCCTGATGAAAAGGGAAAGATATACCTGGTGCTTCCCCTTTCCTTCTCCTTTCTACCTTGAGCAAGTACTTGATGGCTGGAGTTTCAGGAGCCATCTGGTGACTCTGAGGCAGCAAGAAAGAAGGAAATGATAAGTGAGTCACATAAACATTGGTAATGACAAGGCCAAGCCACGGAACAAATACTAACAGCTCCTTAACTGCAGACTTCTTACAATAGGAGGAAAAATAGCCCCCGCTATGTTAGGCCAGTGTGAGTCAGATATATACACTATATGTGTTTTTTTTTATTTGCAGCCAAATAAGTTTGCAACTAATAAGCCTTTCAAGATCTCCAATCAACCTTCTGATATTTGAATTGGCTCTAAAATTTCTCCAAGTTGTCACCTTGTGTGTATATACTTCCAGAGGCAGGAAGTTTATTAGTTACTAAAACTTTCCAGATCATTTTAGAGAGTTTTGATGATTAGAAAGCCTTCTCTTCTCAAAATAAGTTTCTGTGGTTCCCTACTTTCCCCTTCATCTAGCGTTCAAGGTCCTACATAAACCCATTCTACCCCACATTCCATTTCTATTTCCTATGCTCTCCAGCATACATACTTTATTCAAGTCAGGTCAGCCTTTGTCCCAACAGACATTGCCTTATTAACATGGAAAGTTCATTCTCATTTTGGAGATTTATTGCTTACTGTTATTCTTCCTAAATTACAAGTCCTTTACATTTGACTTATTTAAAATCCTACCCATTTTTAAAACTATGTAAAGCCTCACCTTGTCCAGGAAATCTTCCCTGGCTACTGCATCTCCCATTGATCTGCTTTCCACTGACACAACAAATTGTGACCTCGTCTATAAAACATGGTTGAATTCTGTATTACTACTTCTCCCATTATTCGATCATTGTCCTGTGCGGGTTACTTTGGTTCACCCACTAAGGTAAGCTCCTCCAAGCCTAAGACATACTCTCCTTATATATTGAGTTGTCGGAAAAGCCATGACATATTTTTTCTATGTTTTTTATTACAAAAATGCATCATGTCTTTTCTGACAATCCAATATTTTCCGCACAACGGCTAATACTTCATAAGTATCCAATAATAATTATTGATGGGAGGTTTTTTAAAAAAAATGTATATAGTGTGTAAGAGGGCTAATAAAAACATGCATAACACACACACACACACACACGATTTTGTGGTCAAAAGTAGAGCTCAACTCAACAGAATCCACTAAAATTCCAAGTTGGAATTTTGTGTTATTTTTAACTACAGAAATGTCTTTCTTTAACTCTCCTTGTGTTTAGGAAAAGAGACTGATAAGTGTCCTCTGAGTCAGTGGTTGGCTGTAACAGTAACACTTGCTCTCTAGCATAAAATAGGAAATTCCTTTTATTACAATAAAAAACAAATTTTAATTAGCCACATGAATAAGAAATCAGACACAAGGCACCTGTCCCAACATCTTTTTGAACTCTGAAGTTCCTCTTTTTGAAAAGCTGCAAATCCTCCATACATCAAGTAAGCAAAATACTCCGCCAGAATTATGAATCCAGTGATATTGATACCTTGTGAGGGACGGCATCTAAAGAGGCCTATGTTCTGAGACAATTTAATCTATACAAATCTGAGATTCTTTGGCCTTTGATTAAAGAAATCCTGTGCTGTGGTCTTGAAATATTGGGTTGTCGGAAAAGTCATGACTCATTTTTGTAATGAAAAACATACAAAAAATACGGCATGACTTTTCCAACAACCCAATATCACAGGATGGTATCTCCAGGTGTTCTATTTAGAGAACTATTACTTCCAATTCAATTTGTTTTCAGTTCTGTTCCTCAAGAGGTCACTTAGAGGGTCTGGTATGGGTGCCATTTACTTGTCATTGCTGGACTTGATGCTACTGGCTTCATCTACTTCTTCCTTGCTCCATCTTCTTAGGTATAAGTTAGTTGCAAATGAGCCACTTTTGGTCCAGGTTTTGGCTGCTTACTAGCATTCTTCAGTTAGCTGGCTTCCATCCACACTTTCTTTTCCAGTTGTGCAATTACAACTGAGAGTCCCAGCTAGGGTCTATTCTACCTGGTTAACATCTCCTTGTTACTTTGTTTATTCTGAATGCAATCACTGGTCACTAAAATATAAAGATGGGTATGGCTTTACCTCTGTTTTTGACAAAATCATATAAGCAATTCTGTTAGCTCAATAGCTGCCTCTTCTTAAGCATTTGCTACGTCCTTGCTATGCACTGTACTAGCCTCTTGACATGGAGTGTCCAATGATTCTTCACAATAACCCTGTGACACAGGAACTATTATTTTATACTTATGGCTCAAATAAGAAACTGGAAGCACAAGGAAGGGAAAGTACACACATCGAGGAAGAAGTGAAAGTAGGCACAGAAGACATGCATTCAACCCCAGCGCCCACAGCACAGCTTCTACAAATGAAGAATTATTTCGAGTACAGACTGGCAAAGGTTGCAATAGAGATATGATGCACTAGAGCTAAAGGAAGGGAAGTCTCAGGTTGGTTTCAAAGGGGAGGAAGATAAAATTTTGGTAATGCAGACTGGGGCTGGGGGAGATCCAGAACTATATATTTAAGGTCAGAGGTGACCACCAAACAAGATTTTTCTTCTCAATTTGGCATCCTCCCAGGGCAGAGTATAAAGATGTGAGGAACATTGGGGGCAGACCTAGAAAGAAGAGGTGGCTCACAGAACTGAGAGAGAATGGAAAGATGAGAAAAAGAACCAAAGATGCACAGGGAAAAATCAAAGAGGGAGCGAGTTTCCAGGGCCTATGAAATTTTGCAGTTGGGTCTTCATTACTAATTACAAAAGCTATTAGGTTCTGTATGCCAAGCAAAGATCACACCCGTGATCTCCTTTGATCCTAGCAACCGCCCTTGAAATGTGTGTTGTTATCTGCAGAACAGATCTGAGGGTGACTATGGGCAAAACCTAAACTGCAGTGGGTTGAGAAGTGACTGAGGGGAGAGAATATAGCCTTCATTTAGAATAATAGGGATCGAACCCCCCCCACCCCCCCACCCCCGCCAAAAGTAAGTCAGCGTTCCAGTCACTTTAGCACTGTTTTCTCATTTCATCCAACCAAACAAAACTCTGAAAGGGTCGTGTTGTTATTCACCTTCCAAGAAGAAACTGAGATTTGGAAACCCAGTATGGTCTGATTGCCTATCTTCTTTTCAATAAACCCCACTCTGCTCCCAAAGAGGGAATCTATAGCTGCAACAGACATTTTCTGAGGGCTTTACTGCACCAGGCCAGGCACTGTGCTAAGAACATCTACATGAATTGTTACATGGAACCTTCAGTTTAAATGCTACTTTCATTACTAATAGTGTGGTGATTGAGGGTCTGAGCCCAGGAGTCACACTCCCTGAGTATGGAGCTCAGCTCTGTCATCTACCAGTGTCCTTTTGCCTCCGTTTCTTCATCTGTAAAATGGGCTTCCTTGTGAAAAATTATTTAAAGTTAATACACGTTGAAATATCAAGAATAACAAAGGCCTAGGACATAAGTGTGGGGTGAAATGCTGGCTAGTAGTTTAATCGCCGTTTTACAGACAGGAAAAGAGAGGGTGAGGATGGATCTCAGAGTGAGCAACTCTAAGAGCCTGCTCTGGATTCTGGGGTCTCGCAGAAGCCCTTGTGTTTCACCACGACCCAGCACCAATCTGCAGAGAAACCTCCTGAGTGGGTTGGGTGATTGTGGTATGTTTGCTTGTTTATTTATTTGTTTCTAAGATGGGATTGACTCATAATATTTTTGTGCTGGGGGATGGGGTGGAGATGCAAAGTGAAGGCACGGAGGAGCTATGATGGGTAACTAACTGCTCAGACAGACAGGATGGGATGACGACAACGCAGCACAGGCACCGGTGCAGGGTCTGCAACGTCCACCAAGGGAGGAGGGCCAAGAAAGGAAGCGAGGATGGTGCTTTCGTCTTGATTTTGTTTGGAATCAGAGGAGAAAGAAGCCAGGGAGAAGTTTATTTTTCTCTGCCCTCTTGCTGGCCAAGTCACAGCCAATGTTCTTGAAGGGGATTAAAAAAAAATAAAATACCCAGTCCCTCCTACCCTTCCTTTCTTCCTGATCGTCTCCTTTCCCCCTCCTCTCCCAACCACCTCCACCCCTACTTCCTCTTCTCTCCCTCCGCGTGCGGGTTTGCGGGTTACTTCCCTTCCCTTCTCTCCGGGCCATAGCGGAGTCCAAGCTGCCTTCGAGAGGGCGAGACGGGGAGATTGGCTGCGGGCTGTACATACCAGCCA